AGTGCATGTGCATAAAACTATCCAAAAATGTTATGCATTAGAAAAATTGATATCAATTGTTAGAGATATATTATTTGCAGTAAACTACATGCATAAATATTTAAATTAAGGTCAAAAATTAAAATTTGTAAAATCAAAGCTTTAGAAACAAGTTTGACCAAAACTTTATTATGATGAACTAAAAATTATGAAAAATCATTAAAACTTTAAAATGTCCATCATAATACTTTTTAACATACATAAGATATAAAACATAAAATTATTTAAAATCAAAACTCATGCATGATTAACCTAAATGAGCAACCAATTAATCAAAACAAAAACATTAAGCTTAAAGGTTACCCATTCGTTTTCAAGTGTGGATAGAGCATTTGAGTATCTTTACTTTCATCACCATTGCTCCCACACACCTACAAGAGAAATTTAATTTGATTTTGATATCCAAATTGCTTTGGATCCTTTGACGTTAGTTTCAATGCCCTTTGTTGTTTTAGGAAACCATACTTGTCTAATTTTTAAAAATTTTCTTTTATTTATAGGACAAGTATGTACCATATGACCATGAAAATGGCAATGTGAGCATTTTTTCAATTTTAACATAGATGAATTCTTTTTAGAAATGATTTTTTTTGTTAAGCATTCATGCTTAACTTTCAAATCAAGATTTTGTTTTTCCAAATCATTGATTTTTATTTTTGAAAGCTCAAACTCTTTTTTCAAAATTTCATTTTGATTTTCAAAATCCAATTTTGCTTTTAAAAGAAAATCATTTACAATTTTAAAATTTTAAATCAATTTATTATATTTGAAATTCTTGGTCTCAATTTCCAAATACAACTCATCATATGCAACTTGTAACTCTTCAAAAGAATAAGAATCTAATTCAATAGAGTTAGAAGTTTACATTGAATATTCTTCGATGGCCATGAGGTATAGGTTGGCCATTTCATCTTCATCATTGGAGTCATCTTCGTCACTCCAAGCCGCCATAAATGCCTTATTTTTACTTGATCCGTCTTCTTTATGAGGGGACAATCATACTTGTTATGCCCCGTTTTTTGACAATTAAAGCACATTGGGGGGGCTCTTCTTTTTGTTTGATTCATGCTTTACTTCCTTAAAAGTCATGAATCTCTTGAATCTTTTTAAGAGCTTGGTCATCTCTTCTTCTTCATCATCATCTTCATCCACCTCTTCACTTGAGTCTTGATTACTCTCACTGGTGGATTTGAAGGCAATGCATACTTCCTTATTTTTCTTCTCTTCATCTTCTTCATCTTTCTTTACCATCAACTCATGAGTGAAAAGATAACTAATAAGCTCATTAAGAGTGAGAGTCTTTAGGTCCTTAGCTTCGATGATCGCCATTAAAAATTAGGGATCACTTCTCCAAACCCCTTGAGACCATTGACAATCACGAAAAATCTATCCATCATAGCTTTGATGTCTTCATTCGGTTTCATCTTGAAATTATCATAGTTATGGTTGAGAAGACTAATCTTTGTTTCCCTCACTATTGGTTCCTTCATGAGTGACTTGGAGCTTGTCCCAAATATCCTTGGAATTAGAACAAGAAGAGACTCTTCCATATTCATCCGGGCCTAATATACAAAATAGAATGTGTATAGCCTTTGAATTGAGTTGAAACTTCTTTATCACTCCATCACTCCACTCATCCATATCACCAGGTGGAATGGAGTATCCTTTCATGATTGAGTTCTAAGCTCCTAGATCATTGGCTTGAATGAAGAACATCATCATATTCTTCTAATAGGCATAATTTGTTCCATTGAAATAAGGAGGCTTGTTGACCAGTTGAGAGTCTTCAATGTAGTAAGCGCCAGAGGTTGAAACCATCTACTCGATTGTATCAGAAATTGATAAAGCTTCTTCAAAGATCATCTCAAGGTTGTTAAAACTTCTAATGAGTCATGCTTTGATACCAATTGTTAGGATTGATGAAGGAAAATTGAACAACAAAAAATGTGCCAAAAGGGGGTGACTTGGAAATTTAAAGTTTAGGGAGTAAGAAGTATAAAGATAAGGAAATTTTGTACAATGATTTATAGTGGTTTGACTTATCAACCAAGTCTACATCCACAACCTAAGCTCCTCACTTAGGATTTTCCAACAAATTCACTAATTTGTTCTTTCTTTTCAAGGATCAAGAGTAACCTTTACAACTCCATATCTTTTCAATTGGCTAAGATAGAACCAAAACCCCTTTTACAAAAGGAGAAAGATATAAACAAGAAAACCTCTCTAAGGTAGGTGTTTACAAATATTAGGCTCACTAAACACTAATATTTACAAGAGAGAGGAAAATATGAATTAAAAGCTCTTCTCTTGTGTTTGATTTCTTGGATAGGTGTTCTAACCCTTCTTCATGTGTCTTGAACTTGTTTTTATAGGTTGGAATGTGTTTGTGGCTGTTTCTAGTCATTGGAGATAATTTGGAGCCATTGGGATAATTTTTCTACAAAATAAAATTACCCAGGATAGGAGTATCGGTACTTCATTTATAATATTTAAATAAACTAGCCGTTACTAGCCATTGGGCCTGACGAATATCGATACTATGATCATGGTATCGATACTTCTTTGTGAAGTAGTATCGATACTTCTTTGAGTATCAGTACCTATTTTGCATTATGAAATTTGAGCTATTTAGAAAACACGTGGTAGTATCGATACTTCTCTTACCCTTGGTATCGCTACCTCGAGAATTGTATCGATACTTTTCATATAGTATTGATACTGTAAGAACAATATCGGTACTACTTTCTCAAAAAAATGTTTTGTGCTCAAATTCTAGTTTTATGGACTTTAAATTATTTTTGAAAGCTTTTGAAATCTTTGGACAAATTCAATTAAGTCCAAAAATATTTTGCCTTAATTTGTTATATTAAAATATTATAAAACATGGTTCAACATATCTATATCTATAGCACTTCCTAGAGAGATTAAAGTACATTCCTTGGTGATTTGTACCACAATGATCACACTCTAGATATCTCAAAACTCTATCAGAGCCTTAAGAGCTCGCCACAGATAGTGAAGCTGACTGATAACTCTCCAAAAGAGTTAGTATTTAAGATCTTTTTACCTAGGTTGAACTTGAACTTTAGCATTATTAGGATCACCTTAGGATAATTGTTTTTTTTACTATTTTATATAATTTGTATCATGATAATGAGTAGGTGTAAGTTGGCTTGATTTTAATGTTCTATAATGAAATTTAGTACACTATTACTTAGGCATTGATTGAAGGTACAACTGATGTTGTGTTGCGATGTTGTTCCAGATTAATTAAGAGAACCTGTAGCAATCGATGACTCATCAGGTGATTTGAAGAACCTTCTAGAATGAACAACTGGAAAAGGGAATCTATTGATGGATCCATAACCATATCAAATATGGATAAAAATCATTAGTAGAGGGACCATTCCCTTAACCTATAAATAGGGGAGCACCTTATACCATTGGAATAATCAATTCATTCATCTCTAATATTTCTCTCCACCATATTCGATCCATGACAGCGACCTAAGTCTATCACTAGGGAGTGAACCAGCATCAGTTGAGTAACGTGTATTAGCGATGACTGATCGGGGTTCAATATTATCTTTTTGTTAATTTACTTGAAAGGGAAATACACTTTTCTAAGTTGAATGATTAATTTCCTATTTTTATTTGGTACGAAACATAAGGTGTTCGGTGAATTGTTTGACTAGTGGTTTTTACTTTAAGTTATATGTTTATGAGTTGTATTTTAATTAGATGTTGTTTGTTATAATTGCATCTTTATGTATGTTTATCTTGGTTGTTTTTTAGAAATAAAAATTATTGAGATTGCATGCTACTATTGTCCCAATATTGGTTTTTACGAAAGTAAACTACTTCATATAGAGATGTATGATGCCAAGTGTTATGCTTTGTTAACCATTTACTTTATGGTATTAATGAGAATTAAATTCATTAGGTTAAGTGTTAGTCATTGCATAACTCATTACTATACTTCTATAACATAGCCATTCTACCAGCATCCAAGTAATAACAATATTGTAGATCAATCGGTCTGATTGCCTCATTGTTTGCTACAATATTCCCCTATTTTCATTATCGTAATTTCTTTATTTTTCTATCTGCTCATTAGTTTACCAATCCACCCATATATTCTTCTATACTTACTATAAGCTCTTTTTTATCTTGTTTTACTCATTGTGTAATTCGACACTTGTAGCTTTAAAGTTACCACTTTTTTACTTGAATGATAATGTATGCTTGCACTTCGCTATATCATTATCCTAACATCAAGTTTTTGGTGCCATTGCCAGGGAACATCAGTTTTGTATTAGTGTTAATTTTATTTATGTATTTGTTTTCCCTTTTTGTAGGTACTTAGCAGTTTTTGTTGGTTTATGTACTGTAGTGACAACGAACTAGAGCCTTTTGATCCGAAAATTGAATGAACATTTCGTCACCGTTGAAGAGAAGCTGCTAGAAATCAAGCAAACATGAGTGTTGGAAATGGTAACAATTCTCTACCTCCACTCTAGCATGAAAATGATGATGAGATACTAGCTATAGCTAGAATCAGTTAGCAGTAATATTATAACATAGATGATCGCAATCAGCCTATTCGAGAGCATGTGGTGCCAACACTCGATCATTTACATCCTGACATTAACTGACCAACAATTCATGCAACCAACTTTGAGCTAAAACTGGTGATGTTTCAAATGCTACAATCCATTTTGCAATATAGTGGTTCATTTACCGAAGATCCTCCATCATATATTCGAGCTTTTATATAAGTATGTGATTCATTTGTTCAACAAGGAGTTCCTGAAGAAACACTAAAGTTGAAGTTATTCCCCTATTCTCTAAGAGATAAAGCTAGAGAATGGTTGAATTCGTAGCCACCTGGTGCTATAACATCTTGGAATAAGCTAGAACAAAAGTTTTTGCTATGATTCAATGCACTAAATATGAATGCAAAGCTGCAAAATAAATTGACATATTTTAAACAATTAGAATATGAGAACTTATATGAGGCATGGGAGATATTCAAAGAATTGTTGTGAAAATGTCCAATGCATGGATTTCCAGATTGGACACAAATGGAAATATTCTACAATAGGTTGAACATGCAAACATGTATGGTGGTGGATGCTTTTGCCAATGGAGCATTACTAGATAAGATGTACAATGAAACCTATGATATTTTGGAGAGAATATAGAACAATGATTACCCTAATACCCCAATACGAGGAACATGTTTGGCAGACGTAATGCTGCAATAGTGCATACAAGCACTTTCAATTCCACAACCTTTCAAATATCAACTTTGACGAATATGATCAAAAAGCTATAAAAGCCATGAGAATTTATGAGGTAAAAGCCAAATCTAGTATTTCTTATGTTTATTGTGGTTTTAACCATAATTATGAAGAATTCCCTCAAAACCCTGAATATATATTCTATGTAAGGAACTAAAATAGGAATGACAATTCCTATGGAAACACTTATAATGCCAATTTCTGCAACCATCCCAATTTATCCTAGAGAAGTCAAAATGTTACCGATCCTCAGCATCATCATTACAATCAGTAGCAGGCGATGTTACAATCTTAGTTACATCATCAGACTACACAACCACAACAAAGATAGAATTATCAAGGATAATCTTCAACACAAACCATTAATCTTTCATTGCTTGAAGCTTTAATGAAGTAGTACACAAAAATTTAATCAACATCATTAAGAGCTTTAGAGAATCAAGTTGGTTAATTGGTGAATGCTTTGAGTAGCAGACCACAAGGAATGCTGCCAACAATACTGAGAATCTAAAACAGTAAGGGAAAGCTCAATGTAATGAGCACTACAAGGCCATTAATACTCGAAGTGGTCTCCACATTGGGAAACCTGTTGAGGATCCCAAGAGGACTGTTGATGAAGGGGCTATAAAGAATGAAAAGGGCAAGAGATTATGAGTTAATCTTGAAACATCCATTGTGAATGTTACAACAAGAGAAAAAGGAAAGTGTAGTAATTCTGGACTATTTCCAGCAACAATGCCTACCACATTATCATATACATCTCTAGCCCCAATACCACATCATCCATAAACAATTTTGCCTCTACTATTCCCTCAATGATTTAAGAAGACCAATGAGGATCAACGATTTAAGGCATTCATTAACGTACTTCGATAATTGAAAATCAACATTATATTGATTGAAGCATTGGAACAAAATCCAAACTACATTAAGTTAATGAGAGAATTTTTTTCAAAGAAGAGAAAACTTGGGAATTTGAAACTATTGCACTTACTAAGGGATGCAGTGTTATGGCCACAAGCCAATTACCACCTAAGCTTAAAGATCTAGGGATTTTTGTTAGAGAATGCCCAAAGATAAATCATATGATGATTGTATTGACATATTTTCTTTACCGTATTTATTAAATAAATGTATTACTGTTATTTTCTTTTGTTATATTTCTAAGTATTAAATAAACTAAAATATAATAATGTCCATATAATAATGTGATTATTGTTAAAAGATTCTTAGTCAAATATTATTATGGACATGGACAATAATAATATGCTTTAGATTAACATATTATTAATTGATGACAATGAGTTGTCATTGACATAGAGATGTCAGAATTGATGCATGAATATGTTGTTAGAGAACAATGTATTGGATTGACCCACTATGAGCATATGTCTTGGATTATTATGTGTCGGTCACAATACTGCTCATGGAGACAACCATATGTATGATCCTTAGATTTGAGATTATTACTATCTCAACATATATTGTTGTATGTTCTGATACAGTTAAATGTACTCTGTAACTGGTTGTATTATAAATACTGACATTGAACATATCACGACATATGTAGTGGGATATGAATAATCGAGATATGATTTATCTTCCTACATAGTACGAAATATATCACATGCCACTTGATTGAGTGAGGCTAGAAATGCATGGACATGCTCGAATAAGTTGATATGAGATATCACAAATTATTCATTTATTATAGTGTACTCTAGATATCAAGAAATAATAGATGAGCTATACAAGTGTGACTATTCCAAGACTTGTGTTTATTCTAGATATAAAGGACAAAAGGATCTAATACATTAAATGAGTTAGTCACAAACATGTTATGCTGAATCATGACTTCATGTAACTTAGGTAATGATGATATATTGCTAGATGTCACTCATTGTTTGTAATATTAGAATAGTTTTAATTTGTGCTACTAAAGTTATAGGAACCTACGGAGTCACACCTAATGGTTGAAAAGAACAATTTATAAATGTGTTACTTATCCACAATTTTATTGTACATGAATAAAATGTGTCATTAATATCAATATATATATATATATATGTGATATATATGCAAATGTAATTTTAATTACACATTAAAATAATGAATTTAATTAAAAAAATATAGTTAGGGTAATTATATTCCGTATTAATTTTGGATTCAAACCCTAATAGCTAGGAAACACATATAAAACGGAGATGTTGGTCTAGTAGCTTTTTTTTATCTATTTTTTAGAAATTTTGAAATTGCTCTCACGTTTTTTCAACTGTGTAAACTGAGTAGAGGCTGAGACGATATTTGTGGAGGCTAGTATTCAAATTGTTCCTGAGATTGTGAGTTGTTGTTGTATTTCTTTAATTCAAGGAACCCAAGGTGAGAAATCGTATCTCTTCCTCCCGAATTTGATTTTTTCGTACTTTGATCGCTGGTGAGACCGTCGTGTTTGTTTTCACTGTGCCATGGGGCGTACCAACAATCCCAACAAGTTTCACTATCCCTTGCATCATTGGTGATAAATTTTTAGGAAAAGATTTATGTGACTTAGGTGCTAGCATTAATTTAATGTCATTGTTAATTTTTAGGAAGTTTGGAAGTGGAGAAGCAAGACCTACCACCGTTACTTTGCAACTTGTTTATCAATCCACTGTGCATCCTAGTGGCATTGTGGAGAATATGCTAGTTTGAGTAGATAAGTTCATTTTTCCCATAGACTTCATCATTTTGGATTACGAAGCTGACAAAGATGTTACCATCATACTTGGTCGCCCATTCCTTACCATCACCCGACCTTTAATTGATGTAGAAAAGGGTAACTTACTATGCATTTGAATGATGAAAAAATTATTTTTAATGCCTTGAATAATGTTTTGTATGTTTATAATAAGATTAAATATTATTCAATTGATGTTTTTGATGTGTTTGCATAGGAGCATCGTAATGATTGCCACAACATGCATGATGTAACCAGCACTGTAGTTACAATTGAAGAAATAGATGAGGATAAGGAAGTTGAGGGCAAGTATATTAAACACTTTGAGTTATTATTTGATCAACCTATTCGTACTCTAAAAACCTCGATTAAAGAGCTCCCCATCTTGGAGTTGAAGCATTTGCCCAAACATGTGAAATATGCCTACCTTGGAGACAATGAAACTTTGTCTGTCATTTGTTGCAACAAAGCCTAAAACAACATAGGAAGAAAAGTTGTTTGTCATTTTTAATCAGTACAAGTGAACAATTTCTTGGAGCATCGCTGATATTAAAGGCATTAGTCCATCATTCTATATGCACAAAATCTTACTGGAAGATCCCAATAGTAGTTTAGTTGTGAAACAAAGAAGGTTAACTCCGTTCGTGAAAGAATTTGTTCGAAAAAAATCATAAAATGGTTAGATGTTGGAGTCATATATCCAATCTCGGATATCAACTGGGTAAGCCTTGTGCAATGTGTTCCAGAGAAAGGCGTCATTATTGTGGTGAAAAATGATAAGAATTAGTGCCAATAAGGACCACTACTGACTAGATAATCTGTATATACTATAGGAAGCTAAACAAAAACAACAAAGAAATACCACTTGTCATTTCCATTTACAGATCAAATGATGGATCATCTAGCTTACAAAGCTTTCTATTATTTCATAGATGGGTTTAATGGCTATAACTAAATAGCCATATCACCTGAAGACCAGGATAAAACTACTTTTACCTGCCCTTATTGTACTTTTTCCTTTCCAACGAATGTCATTTAATTTGTGCAATACTCTAGCAATATTCCAATGATGTATAATTGTAATATTATCTTACATGATTGAAGACTACTTGGACGTATTCATGGATGAGTTTTTTATTTTTGGGCAAAGATTTTGATTAGTGACTTATTCATTTGGTTGTTGTGTTAAGGCGTTGTGAAGAAACCAATTTGGTTTTAAATTAGGAGAAATATACTTCATGGTGACAAAGGGTATAGTGCTAGGGCATTGTATCTCTAGCCGTAGCATTGAAGTAGACAAGGGAAAAGTAGAAGTTATTGAGAAGCTACCACCTTCCACTAATATGAAATCAGTTAGAAGTTTCTTAGGACATGTTGACTTCTATTGAAGATTCATAAAGGATTTTTCCAAGATTGCCATACCATTATGCTCATTGCTAGAGCAAAATAGGACATTTGTGATTGATGATGAAATGTTGAATTCCTTTGAAACAATCAAGTTGAAATTATTTATTGCCCCTATAGTCGTAGCATTGGATTAGAATTATCCATTTGAACTTATATTTGATGCTAGTGACCAAGCTGTTGGAGCAGTGCTAGGCAAATGAGAGAAAAAAAAACTCTTTCATGCTATACATTATGCTAGTCAAACATTGAATTTTGCCCAACTCAACTACACAACAACCAAGAAGGAATTACTATATATAGTTTTTACCTTTGATAAGTTCAATTTTACTTGGTTGGGACTAAAGTCATTGTCTAAATTGACTATTCAACTTTAAAGCATTTATTTTCTAAGAAGGATACTAAGCCGAGGATAATGAGATGGGTGATGTTACTTCAAGAATTCAACATCAAAGTTAGAGATAAGAAGGGATCCTAGAATCAAGTGGTTTATTATTTATCACGATTGTAAGCTGGTAATGAAGATGGAAAAATACTAGCAATTCCTGATACATTTCTCGATGAAAGATTACTTGATGTTAAAGTTTGGGCTTGGTATGTATATTTTGTTAATTATTAGGTAAACAGATTACTGCCACCTGATCT